AAAATCAGTATTACCGATTTGTTGATATCATTATTGACAAATAGAGCCGTAGCTGCTTCGCAAACTTCTGTGTTTTACACAATAAAAAGACTCGTTCTGTTTTTACAGCTAAAACTAAATTTTGACGAAGCGACAACGACAACAAACAACAACACGCAATTTTAGGCATATTAGAAATATTGTGCAATCGAATAATATGAATTATTTAGTTTGTCTTGTGGCGGTGGTAGCTCCTCAAAGTGAATGACATCTTTCATTTGTTTCTGCTCCGAAAAAGTTTTCATACCATAAATGAATAAAATGGATATACTTAGCATCTTTCTGCTACAGGAGATTTTGCTTCGTTTCATTTAATAGTTTTACTAAAAATAAATGCAGAGCTTAATAAAGTCAAACTCATCTTAATCATAATTCCTCAATCAATCTGGAAAAAAAAGATGAAGAATCAAGAAATGTCTGAAACAATGAACTGGTCTGAAAAGAGTGAAATAGAAAATTAACAAGTAAACTAGTTCCAGTCCTTTTCAGACATTCTATTTTCAATATGACTGCCGCAGCCGAAGAAGTGGCTAATAATAATCCTTTGAGTAAAACTTTTGACAGCAAAGCCAGTGCCGATCTAGAGAGAGTAACTGATTACGAAGAAGACAAAGAAATAAGTCCAGTCAATATTAGAAGTGTTAGTACGATGATAGATTTTTACTACCTTTTATTTTCATGAAATGGTTTAACTTAAAAGTTGAAGTTACAGAAACTTTTAAACAGACTTCAGTCACTTAACTTGCCTGGGCCTGACTTGTCTATTCCTCTCCCCTTCCAATTAATCCATCCCTGATCTGAAGCTCATTTTTGTAATCTTTAGAGAGAAAGAACTGGCAAAGGTTTCTATAAAAAAAGAGGATGTTGTTTTGATCGTAAGTAATTTTGTAAATCAAGTACATGCTATTAAATAATCTTGAATAAACCCGAATGACTTATTTGTAGATGAAAGAAATGGAGATCTCTAAATCAGAAGCAGAATGGAGTCTGAGAAGTAATGGCGGTGACGTAGTCAGAGCTTTGATATCATTGACAAACTAGGAAAGGTTTTGTATTTAATCTTATGTGTGCTAGTATTGCAAAGGTAAATGATAAGGCTTGTGACGGAGAAACTATGAAACTCTGCATTTGAAACCATGGAAATCATTTGATGTAATATTTATCTTTTTCAAAATGAATTTGTGCGCATTTGCATTGCGAACCATTCATGTTTAAAAATTTTGTTTTGTTTTTTTCTTAAATCAAATCCAACTGATGATTTCAAGTGATTTAATGTGCGTGATGGTTATTTATTCACTGAAATGTACATTTTTTGTTTTGTTGCATTTTCACGAAATTGTCATAGATGATTTCCTCATTAAAACTTTATCTCTATACATGATTGCCTCATTAAAACTTTATCTCTATAGATGATTTCCTTATTAAAACTTTATCTCTATACATGATTGCCTCATTAAAACTTTATCTCTATACATGATTGCCTCATTAAAACTTTATCTCTATACAAAAACAGTATTTTAAACCAGGGAGTTTTTTTGCTGCTACATATCTGTTCCTGTTTTTGTACTCGTTCTCGTTGACTAACTAAAATTTATGTCATAAACGGGCTGGGGTTATGCCAAGGATGAGCCCACAATGTTGTTGGCTATGGTTTGTTGCTGAATTACGTTATGCAACAGCGTCTATTGCATATTTGATTGCTGGCGTGTCGGGCAGTAAAATGTTGAAATCTGATGAAAACTTTAGTATGCGTCACTACTCTCTCGGTTGAAATAGATAGAATCATTTTACGAAAGCTATGGAGGAATTTGAGAGGGCCTTGGCCAATGCTCAATTGATTAGACGAGTTCAACACAATCAAGATAAGTTAAGAAAATTTTTGAACTTAGACAGCTAAGACGGCCGTTTCCAAAAGAAGTTATCGTTTTGCTCGCAAGGCAATCGGCGAGGCAATGTATACGATAAAAAAACTGCAGGATACAAGGTAATAAAAATACCTCTGTTATTGAGTTTCCTAACATACCTACAATATTTTAGCACTATCATAACGTGGTTCGAATTTTCCTCACTTGAGTTAACAGGTTGTTGCTGTATGATTTTATTGCTTAATCAAGCATTATTACTTCCAAACTTCTTGTTTCCCCCGTCTTCAAAAATCTATAAAATAAAACGAACGAACGAAAAAAGTTAGAATGGGATTCAAGAATATTATACTCTTTTTCAAGCACTCTATATATATAGTTTATCCTCTTTCAACACGACTCTTAATAAAATATACTTTTTCCCATTTATAATTTATTTAATAGTACATTGGTTTGTTTGTGTTTTTTAATGTCAAAATTCTTATGAGCTTTATTGAGGCCTCTATGTTTATTTTTTTACTTAGGAAAGGCGTTTAAAAGAAGTGTAATGACGTCAGGAAGAAGCTTTCTTGTTGATTTAAGGAGAAAAATTGGTTAATCTGCTTTCGAAGAAGTGTTAGCCATGCATGTTTGCCATTGATGACATATAAAGCATGTACGACGGAATTTAGGGCACGAAGAATATTTCCACCGCCATTGAATATGCTGCGAGCAGAAACTGTGGATTATATCAAAAGGAGGAAAATTGAAAGCCACTCCAGGTATGACTGTTACAGTCGTAGTGTCTGTGACAGGAAGAAGTTCTGGTTCAGTAGCAAAGGTGTCTGTACCATTGCTGGTTGTTTAATGATTCAACGAATGAGAATTTATTGTAATTGTTAATATAACCATCTAGTTAGCAGCAAAAATCTTGCATTATGGCTGAGGGAAATCGTGTTTTGTTATATGATAGTAAGAAATAATTGGATATAGTAGTAAATTAGTAATAAATACAAAGAGAAAAAATTCTTGTTGTATTTTCTTGCATTGTTGTGGAAACGTCAAAGATTGTAGCGTTATAGAAAAGGGCGTTGAAGAAGTGATTGAGCGTCATCTTGGTGATTACCTGTAAAGAATGCATCTCTCTGCTCAAAATAGTGCCGAACATGTCGATGATTCTAACATGAAGGCAATATTAGCTAACATGGAGATCACTCAATTTACGGCGCAAACTCCTCCCTTCACGTGAATAATTTCGAGAGAGTATTTATGAGTGGTTTCTATCAGCCAAACTCAAAACCTTAGTGGAAAGCTTGGCCTTTACCGCTGAAGACTACAATTGCGCCAAAGCTACCATTTATCAAAAGTCCGTGTACGCCTTAATGTTTTTGGAGAACACAAATCTTGTGAAGCAAAAAGGCATCCAGAAATTTTTTTAGTCTCACACAGAGTTGTGAAGATAGTAACGCCTTTTACTAGACTCTGAAGACATGAGTTGATCAAAAGTCCAAAGGCCAGGCTTTACGTAAGGAGTAAAAGTATTTATATTGAAGAACCATATGGAAGATTCGTATTATAACCACAACATCAGGAATTTGAAGAGATTATCTTATCATATACAAGCGTTCGTTTACCTCGAAACAACAAGAACAGCAAAGAGAGCAGAAACTTGCCAACTTTCAACAGTAAACAAACCATGGGAGACATTCTTACATTAAAAACTCCTCCGGCAAGGGGATTCAACTCCTCCCCCCCCCCCTTCCATGTCAGTGATATCAATCATTGCATAATATAAGTAACTGCTATTTCGGGAATGTTTTGCCTCCCAAATAAAATCATTTCTGTGCAACAGTCCCCCAGCGTCAATGATAAAAACCTCACGGTTCAAATGGCCTAATGCAAATCTTTGTAGTCACGTTTTGCGCATTTCGTTCTAGCATTTTAAAGCAAAATTTCTGACAACCGGAATTGAAAAGTACAATAATGACGCACGCTTTCTTCCATAGTCTGCAAGATTAGTCACAATTACGGTGGCCGGTACGGGTCACCAGAAAAATAATTTAAAATACATAACAAACAATAAGAAAACATCAACCAAAATTATACTACACATTTCAAAATACTCACTACACATTTCAAAATACTCGCTACACATTTCAAAATACTCACTACACATTTCAAAATACTCACTACACATTACAAAATACTCACTACACATTCGTCCCATTTCTCCTGGTCAGCCTGCCCACGGTCGTCATTAGAACGTCTTACGTATACGGATATTTTCGTATCCGCAACTTTTGTTGCCATCAAAATTCCATCGTCAATACTTTGTATCCCCATTTATCTAGTACCCATGATTTTCTTATCCACACGCACTTTTATCATAACAGTTGTTCGACAATTGTTTCTATCAGGTTTAGCATCGGTTGGTTGTCTTTTTTCCTTGTCTGGTAATGTAAATCAAGGTTAAATCGTTAATGCAAGAGGACTCCTTTATTTGGAGTGATGATGAGGTCGAACTCTTACTAAAAGTAACATTAGAATATAAAACATCCAACGCTATGGAGAATGTCGATTGGGAATCGATCAAGTATGATGACATTTTAAACCTTTCATTGAGCAGTATCCTTCGTCGGAAAATGCCCTGATGAGAAAGATTACCCCAAACGAAGAACTTTCCAAATCAGTGTTGACATCCAAATTAAAAATGGTTCGAAAGAATTCAGGGAAGCTGTTGATTCAGGTAGGAAAAGTGGACATGGCCGCGTATGTATTTATACTTTGAACTATGGGAGCCAATTGGGGTGGTACAGAAGCCATCGATAATGCTGATGGAATCGAGACGCTTAAACAGAAGAGAACACAGATGAAAAGGAATCCAATTATAATTAATGGAAATCAGCCCTGCTTATCTTGTAGCCCTGGTGATTCAAACTAGTTATGCTAAGATTCAACAAGAATTCCTCAAAAGAAAATGGAATTGCTCAATCTGAAGGTCTCACATGAGACAGCAACAAAGTCTCAACTCTTACAGATGCAGATGATACACTAGACAAGGCAGAATGGATCACAAGGTTAACCTATGAACATGGAAAAAGCTTTCATTAACCAAATAATAATTTAGGACAGGTTTTTGACTGATTCTCACATGACGAATGTTGATTACAATACATCTTGACAGATTCTAAATGGAGAAACATCGACGTATGTTGTATTCTAGAAATGGAGTAGATGCGGAAAACGCAAAAACAAATGGAAGATTAGTCATATTCAGACGGATTTCCTGCCACTGCGACACATATTGGTCAATTTTGGAAGACAATGTTCAAGGTACGGGGCTGGAGTCTGGAGGATAATCTATGTGGTATATTTAATCATCGATTTACGAAGCATGAGATTGTGATGTTAACTGTATATGGAGAAAATTCAATGGAAGTTTAGATTTCAAAGATGATGACATTCAATTAATCTTGTTAAAGAAAAAGACTTAGATTTCATTTAATGACGTTTGCGATACTGAATTGTAAATTGTTTGATAATCTGAATATATTAACTGAGCAGTGAAAATTTGACTTGAATTTTATGCATAATCCACTACTTAAGCCAAATCTGCTTCTACAACCCGCTCCAGTCCCCTATTGTTAACCATTTTGTTTTGTGTGTTTAAGGTTGCATGGAGTCCGTTTCTTGCCGCGTTCAGCTTCAATCTACAAGACAACGACGATTCTTCTGTTGCTTTATTTTGTCTTGATGGAATCCACAGTAACAAGAATATCTTGCATATTCAGCATGCCTGTAAGTTGATAAACATACAAAAATGTGTTCTTTCGTATATTTGGTATGCAGCCAACGACATTAATGTCTCTGCATACCTTTCATCACTCTGTCCTCTCATGAGCAATATGTATTCAAAATATGTTAACGCTATCGCTTGAAATTTATGAATATATTTACGTAGTTAAGCATACACGTCATGTTCTTTTGCGTGTTATAGTCTTAGTTTGATTATAATTTCATATGTATACAATAAAACAGATGTCTGTTTACCTTGAATTACTCGCCCGGAGCCAGTACATATATGGATATATCAGGAATGCATGTGAATGTGAAATAATCTTTTCTAAAAGTTTTCAATGATTACAGCTAGTTATAATGATGTTAGGGAATATGAATGGAGATTCTTTACCATTAAGTTCATATTTTCGATATCCTAATAACTCTTTTCACATCAGAAGTTGGAAAGAAATGCTTTCTGCACAAGCCTCCATCCAGGTTCACTTTAATCATCAAGGACTAGTGGCAATGCATATCTTGGCGAAAACAGAAAACGAAGAATGATGGAGACGATCAAGATAATTCTTACTCATCGCCGTCTGATGGTAATTACATCGGGAAGCCCATGCCTGAGGTAGAGAGAGAATCATCTTGCTATATATTATGGTTGGTGTCTACGACTGGTGTAAAATATGATCGATTGTTTTTTCATCAAAGGAAAATTAGGTCTGGTTCAGGTCTTATCTTCATGATATTGGTACAGTTCTCCTTACTCTTCTTCATTTTTCCAAGTGCTTTGTTGACTGTATTTCATATACCCTTCATCAGAGAATCGTATCATAAATGTACTTTGTAATAAATATATATAAGAAAATGAAGTTTTTCAAGACATTTTTTATTTGAAGATATTTTCTACGTATGTATTTAACGTTTATGTTCGTCTTGTTGAACACTGCGTTTCAAATGCCTGTTCCGTTTCCGGCGCATATTTTACTTTTCTAAAGTCATTGTTTTCTATTCTAGATAATTCGAAATGCATTTCCCAACTCTGAATTGGTTCTAACTTATCGGTACTCGCTGGTGTGAAAACGCGATACCTTCACACACGGCGTCCAGCGGTGTTACTAATTCACCCACAGCATCTCCATCGCAAAACAACAAGACACCTGCGATATAACCTCAGGTTGCTTATAACATTGTTGTGACGCTCGTAAATGTCAAATACTAACGTTGGGTGCTTTTTCTTTGTTTGTATTTCTATGAAGGTCGGATGCCCGTTGCCGCTGACTCGAAAGCGGCTGGCTCACAGGAAGCCATTTGGGAGACTGCTGCACAAAGTACGCTGCAGCTGACTGGTAACGTCAATGAATGGTGGGGATTGTCTTTGTGACCTATCTCCCACCCTAGCGGAAGCTAGAACTTTAATGCAGGGAGAGGTGAATATTCATATATGGCTTGCTACATTCCGCTGTGACCAACTAATTTCTTTTTCAAATTAAAAATAGCTTTTAAAACCAAATCAGTCAAGCAAAACTAAATATTCAATTCTCCCATTCAGCGTTCTTTTGCTTCTTCCCCAAGCCAGAAATCTTTAAAAATTGTCTTCAAGGTAGAGTTGGGCTCTTGTAACAGCAAGGAAATGTTGATGGATGATTCTATGTAGACATGTTCATTATCCGTGTTAGCAGAGTCCTGAGAAGGACTGTTATTGCTGGTTGTTGACTGATCGTTTGATATCCTGAAGCGGTAGTCATCTCAGGCTTAAGTGAACCAGAGAACCTTGAATATGCCACAAAATAAATTTTGAAGAACTCCTGCACTGTCTCTTTTGCATATGTTCCTCAGCAGAATATTCTCATCTCAACTTCTTCATTGTGTTTACCATGTCGAGTTTCTACGGATCAGTGAAACTGATGGTGATGTGCTATCGGTAGGTTTTGCAAATGTATACATTAAACGTGTTCTACATAAGATTTTTATACATCTAACTTGACCATAATTCACTGACCATTGTTTATCCTGGCACCCACCCCCTAGTATCCAAATTCCTGTTCCCAAATACCAAACCCAAGTATCCAAATCCCAAGTATCCCAAATCCCCAGTGTCCCAACCCCAGCATGCAAATCCCCAGTTCTAAAATCCTATCAGCATCTCCTGTATCCAAATCTCAAAATGTTTCTGTTTTTCTCCTAAGTCGATTTCGTGGAAGGTTTACGTCAAGTCTCGAAGTTCAGCTTTC